TATTATAACGTGTATTCTCTAAATATTTCCAAGATGAATTAGTAGTTTGTTTATGATAAATCTTTTCTAGCATTACAGTACTCTTTAAGTCTTTGCTACTTTTCTGTACAATATTTCTAGGCAATTAGGGCATTTCAATGTCAATTAGTGTAAGGGTATATTTGGTTTATGTTTAAATAAAATGACTAAGAAAACTGTTAAAGTTATTCCCAGTACTCCAATATTAAATCCAGAATCTCTGCTTCTCAAGGAATATCAGTAAATTTGGTTTGATCCAAACTTAGATTCTTTACATCATTACCTATTATCATTAATATTTATTCTCACAGTTATTCCCTAGAAATCTGTCATACAAAGAAATTTTTTTTCAAAAATTTCTTTTTCAAGTTTGGTACACCTCTGCATGGGTCAAATTTTGTACTTAATGATTTGGGTCCTTTTGGGACTCAAATCTATTTTCAAGTATAGATGTAAAGAAAGGTACAGTGGCTTGAGTTGGAAGACACTCAACATTGTCATACAAGGTACCAACTTAGTGTAGACCATAACTCTAGTGACAGAGAGGACTCAGACCCCTACACAGGCTCCATCACTCCACTCTGATTGAAATCTTCACATAAGCCTCCATTCTGATATTTAAGACCCTGATTCTTTCCAGTCTATTTCTTCTAAGAGAACACATGCTCTGGGAGTAGAGATTTATTTTGTGAAGTACTTCATTCCCTAGAAGGAACAGACTCTGAGTTTAATGTTCAAAAACTCCAGTCTGTTGGCCACAGGGGATTAGAAGCATTCCAATTATTTACAGAGTTTTAGCTAGAAATTAAAAACTCTTACCTTGTCTTTTCTCCTCTATACTTTCTCTGCCACAGTTAAGAGCAGTCAATCTCTTTAACCTCATCTAAAAATATATTCTGACTTATGAAATGCATGGTCACTGAGAATCTTGCCTTATATAGATATTTGATTAGGAGTATCCAGTGATGATATTTTGAGTATCTCTATTGCCTCTTCTGACACTCTCATTAATCTGGAAACAGTGTCTAGTAACTTTGAATCTAAACGCATTAGGTAAACAATTCTGAAATGCAGAACCATTTCCACAAATTTGTGCTTAAGAATCTGCTTCCTTAAAACCATTCTTGACTCAAAGTTCTGTTTCAGCGTGCCTCTGAGTTTATATACAATTCTTCAGAGAATCTATATTGTGTATTATGAAGCTAAAACTGTTGTGATGGCTACCAATTCTGAATTATTTCAACAGTCCAGCAAGCTGGAAATGGCCAAGTATAAGTCAATTTATTGTTGTGAGATAAAAGGTCTTCTTCAGAGAAACCTCAGTGTTGACTTTTAAGGCTTTTCCAGTCATTAACTGAAACCCATCCATGTTACTGAAAATGACCTCCATTTCTTAAATAAAACTTACTGGGTATGATAACCACATCTACAAAACATCTTCACAGCATCACCTACATTAATTAGTGCTTCACTAAATAGCTGAATGTCCTAGATTAGCCAAATTGGCATGTAAAGCTAACAAGCATGTAAAGCTCACAAATATGAAGCTCTCACTTTGCTCAGAGGCCTGCGTTATGACTTTAGCGGCTCTGGTATGGTAAAGCCATAAGGCTTTGCCTTACTTTCTCTTCATGTGGATCATTGGAGGAGTTTTGTTACATATATTTTGTTCTGGGGCCAGATCAAATGCTTGGATCTCCTCAAGCAATGGGAAAGAAAAATGGGATGGTGCATGTGGCCACTTGACATTTATCTAGGGGGTTGGCATAATTTTGTTTTTATGTATGTGGGTGTATGTCTGTGTGTGGTACTGGAGATTGTCTTAGTTACTTTTCTCATTGTTGAGATAAAATATCCAACTTCTACAAATTAAGGGAGAAAAGGTTTATTTAGCTCACAGTTTGTGGAGGTTTCAGTACAGAGTTGTGTGGCTGCAGTGCAGGGAGCATGGCAGAGGGGCATCAAAGTGGAGAAAGAGTTCATAATGGGGAAAAAGACAGGATGGCAGCAAAACAGCAAATAGTGAACAGCAGGCAGCAAGTGCCACAAAAACCCTCTTTCTGTCCCTTAGGGTGAGCAGCATCCACACGGGGCGGGGTGGGGGTTCCCATTACCCATATCAAGAACTTTGCCAAAACAGAGTAGACTAATTTAGTAATCATACACCCTTAATCCCAGCATCATACACACTAGTCCAGCCACTTCTGAAAAAGCCTCATCTATGACCACACAAGGCTTTGGGAGGGACATTTAGACACAAATCATAACAGGTTCAAACTCAAGGCCTTGCTCATACTAGGCAATTGTTGCAGTGCTAGGCCATATCACCAGCCTTGCCTGAGAAATTGTGGTAATATGTGTGGTCTGTAGCATTAAAGAGACAGAATAAACTACTGTAGTTGCTATAGTTGGTTGCCATGTGAGTGTGAGTTGACAATACTGATTTGGCTATTCTTGTATGCTGACAACACACAGCAGAGTACCTCAATGGGAAGTAACTGAGAATTAAGTTTCTCATTGTCTGTCTTAGTTACTTTTTACTGGTCACTGAGACAAAATACCTCATGACCAAAGTTCAGTCCATACCCATTTGGCTCCAAGGTAGGGTGGCATGGCAGAGCCTCAGTTCATGGTGGCTGCAAACAGCAAGGTGGAAACTGGCAAAAGAGCAGACACGCCTTCTTCCTGCCATTACATCACATCCTGGCTCCACCCCTTTGTGGGTGGAGCACTGACACCATCAATCCAAGCACTAGACAATAAACAAATTACAAATGCACAATGCAAATGCATGAGGCCTGGGGGCCGCAGACATAAAGCATGACATTGTCCAAGCTGGGATATACAAGTAAGCAAGGGGAGATTGGAATGGGCATGGATTTGTCCATTAGAAGTTAAAGGTCACTGAGAATTCATGTTTAGGTTAATATAGAAACAAGGGAGAAATCTGACAAATACTACCTCTGTCCTATCATTAAATTAACAGTGCAGTATTAATGGTGTGCAAATTCAGTTGCATGCGAAAAAAATGATACTTTATCCCTGTGATTTTCTCCCCCTAACCGTAACATCAGTCTTAATATGAAAAAAATTAGAGTAATCCCTCTAAAAGAAAATACAAATTATTGGCCAGTTATAAGTACCACCAATTTCTTTAAAGACAAGAAAAGTTGAAGAAATAATTGTTGCCAAAAGTTATCTGAGGAGAGAAGGTAGCTAACGATATGATGTATTGGGTTGGTTCCAGAGCAAAGAACGTAAGAATAAAGTTGAGTCCTTAAACGGTAGCAACATATCTATGCTATACCTTTAATTTTCATATGTCAATTAACAGTATGTCATACGATGGCATCAATAGGAAGAAAAATAAAGGAGAAACCTATAAAAGCTGTTCATTTCACAATTTTTACATAAATTTAAACATTATTGAAAAAAAGATAAATTTAAATAATTTTTTGAATTTTACTCCTAAACTTGTAATTGAGAAAATTTGTGTTATTTTAGTTATAAAATTTATTTTGGTACCTACTAAGTAAAATGTTTTGAATCCTATGTTAATATTTTTCTGGTGAAATACCCACTGTTATTATTTAGTATTTTGAAAAAATAGAATACAAGCTTAATGTTTTAAAAGAGAATTGCTAAAATGATAATGTCACAGTTAAAACTTATTTTCAAATGTGTCATACTATTAAAATAATAATATTTTTAAAATATTCACACTAACATGAAATTTAGCATGCTATTAAGCAGGAGCCTGAGTTTAGATACGTGATTAATATCTTCAAATCTGTTTATATGGTCAACTACTTAAATCAGGAATTTAGAGATTGTTTTTATATAATTAATAAATATTGAAAATTCCTACTTTCAGATTAAAGGAGTAACCATATAAATTTAAGTAAAATAAAACCGGGTTAACAATCCACCAGCCTTACCCGGGGAAAATATATTACTGTGTGACATGTTCGTTACTACTGAAAATGGCCAATCACTTTTCCTTCAAAACCAGCAGTCGTAATCCATCCATGCAGTGACAGCTTGGGTGACACTTCCTACTCTATTTTAGCACACTTTCCTGATCAAGCAGTTTTTAGTCCCATATAACAAACAAATGGTAGAGAGGGATAGCATGACTTACTCTTTCCAAGGCTGAGAGCAGGACTGATTTTAAGGATCACAATTTCCTATTTTAAAATTAATCACATAGTTTACTTCGAAGTTTCATTTAGCTAAGCATTACATTCAGCTCTGCATAGTATTCTGTAGTATAACAGTACTAATTTGTGTCCCAACCTTTTTTCTTATGTCTATTCTAAAATGAAACAAAGCTCTCCAAAAGAACTAAAAGAAAAAAAAAATCATTCTATGGTTTAAATCTGTTATTCATCACTTTGGTATTATGGTGCTCCCTAAGTGGATATCTATTGAATATTTCATACCTTGATTTATCTTAATATTACCTACTCTGATAAATAGTCGCGCCTCTGCATCATACTAGTGTGAACAGAATTTTAAGTTCCAGAGAGAATTATTCATGCGTGCAGGTTTTTAATTAAAATGAGAAAGATTAGTCAACCTTTTTTCAAGAGATAACCAAATGAAAGGAAACTTTTAATTACACTTGCTGAAATTTTTCCCACTTGCAAACTCAGATCTCAAAAGGAGTGGCGGGAGTGAGCAAACACCTGAGAGAGAGCAGATCCTGTCCAAATGCCTGGAGGGATAGAGAGGTGCACGGAAAGAGGCATTCCCATGGCACTGAAGGTCTGCAGAGCTCACACTTTGCAGAGCTGAGGGCTGAGATTGGTGCATCCCCTCCTTCTTTTCCTCTGCCACCTCCCCTGGAGTTCTTGTTCCCCGGAGTGGCTGTAAACAGGATGCCTTGTAGAGGCGGCTTCACAATGTCTTGCACAATTTCTTAGGTGTCCTCTCTGTTTCCGGGTGCTGTGTTAAGTGGTTTCCCATTTCTGTCTTTTCAGACCACATCCTCTGAGGTGCCATAGCACATGGATTTCAGAACCGCCTGTGAGGAGGTAGGTGAAATGGCTTTGTGCTTTTCACATAAGTAAAACACATCATAATCAAGAAACACTTGGACTCGCTTTCTAAAGGTGGAACCCTCCTCCTGGAAGAGGATAAGTAATGGGCTCAGTTTGCTTCCAGATCGTGCTTTCTTTCCACAAAACTAGACAACCAAAACATGCCTGGGGAAGCCCTGAATTTTAGCTCTTTAGGAAGATTGGAATTTATATGACATAACTGAATCACTCTCCTCCTTCAACTATGCATTGTAGAGTTCAGGGAGTGGAAATGAGGAAGGAATTCTTTTCACATAAATGGTCATAAATGAGAAGATTTCTAAAGTTTCTTTAAGCACCAGAATCCTATAATGCATGATTCTAATGTTATCTAACTTTTAATACATAACAATTCAGGTTCTTGGTAAAGCTATCACTGCATCTTGCTAGGAGTTACAGCAATGCACTGCTTTTTCAAGTATTTTAAAGACCATTCAAGTGTGCCATTCACCAGTGTGCGACTGTGGGGCTCTTGGGGAACATAACCATCCCATTTTGGGAAGAAAGGCCATCTTTTTTTCACTAAACAGGACTCCTTCAAAGCATTTCACTTTCACTCAAGGCAAAAACAAAAAAACAAACAAACAAACAAACAAACAAAAAACCACTCATAGGTTACAAATATTTCACTTTTGTTTAAAAAGTTGAAAATATTTTGCATTCTATATAAGTAATTTCTTAAAAACTAACTATACCTGGATTGTCAGTGGCAGAGAAAAGAAAAGCCTCAGCTACCATTTGTGAAGACTGTCATTTTATTATAACGTCTGTGTTTACATTTCTAACATGAATTATAGAATCAATTCTTTATTTTCCTCTGAAGCAGCTCTTCCACTGCAGTTTTGAATGTAAAGACAGGTCTTTCACAAAACTAGTAAACTGCTTTCATATTTTCATGCTTTGTCTCCTTTTATTTAACAAACAAGTAGAATTCCATTTCATATATTCATGATAGAAGTTTTCAAATTATATCACAATTATTTAATACCAAGTGTCTCTCATATGCTTCGCTACAACTGTAGGGCAAACTATACCACTTACTCATGGCATTAACCCAACATCTATTAGTTCCTGTGTTTTCCTTAATTGAACTAGTATTTTAGAGAAATTCTATGCTACTGAAAGCTTGAATTTTGTTTTACCTCATTTTACTTAGTCAATTTTGAATGGAATAAAATTCTATTTCCAACAAAATGCTGTTTTCTTTTGAATAGCATAACACTCTTTCTGTGGATATTTGCTGGATGACATCCATGTGAGACCCATGTAAGATTCATTGGTAGCGATGGATAGTGGTTAAATTCTATTGTAACAAAATGTAGTTTAGACTTCAGAGCTCGCATAAAATGCCCTAGATCTTTTTGTAAATAAATTGGTTTGATATGTTGGATTGGGATATCTAAAAGTTTCTCTTTGTGGTTTGAAAGATTTATTTTAGAATGAGGACACCATTGTGATCATCTTTCCATCTTGTTTCCATGGCAGAAGATTCTTTTCCTTTGCAACAAGTTATTTAGGTATCTTTGTATTAGACTCTGTACACAGCAGGAAGTAAACCACTCCCAAACTCCTCAGGACAGTGCTTACAAGTCTGCCTCAGAGGCTGCCAGATGTTGTGAAATGGTCAAATCTCTCTTAAGATGGCCCAGAATCAGAGTTAGCCTCGTACTTATGGTATCTGAAGATTTAGGTGGACAAAAACCATAAAGAATGTTTAGTATAACTCTCGTTTGGCCATGAGGAAATTGAGAGATTTTATGAAATGTCAAGTGCTCTTAATTAATTGGTTAAAAGTAAAGCTGTAATACTTAGATTGAACTCCTAATAATAAGCTTAAATCTCTTTTTATAGTACTGTATTTCTGGAAATCATATCAAAGTCAAAGATACATTCAATGCAATTTGGTTTTGTCTTTACTGTTATTAAGGCATAAAGATGAGAATCTTACATAAATGCCCATCAGTTCAAGGTAGAACATTGCTCTACACCTGCCAGGAAGTTTTGTCTTGGTGAAAAAGAGATGCTTGGCCAGATAATTTCCATTTGAAAAGCTTATTAATTATCCAATGCATAGACTTTTTAAAATAAGTGTTTATTGATTTCAATATTGAAATTTTTAAATATAAAATTTTGTGATTTGATAAAAAATTGACTATTTATAAGTCTAGAAATAAGGGAAAATGAAGACAAAATCTTACAGGAAATACTACAGGGAAAATTATAAACTCTAGAAAAAAAGTTTACACAAAATCAGGCATAATTATGATTCTACCTGCTTTAAAAAAGTGTCATTGAATTAGTGTATGTGTTCATATAAACCAATATGTTTTCATTAATTTATATTTTCTTCATAATTTATTTTCACATCTACATTCTTTAAAGTATAATGTACATCTTTATGTTGATTCTAAAAGTGCTGTGTAATTCTTTAGATGTATAAAGTTTTGCACTAACAGCATTTCAGTTAATGATAGATTACATCATCTGGTGATAGCATAGGCACCTTATTATAGATGTACTGTGATGTTTATATAATAAAATGACCTAGAATGCATTTCTCAGAACTTGTCTCCTTTCCCAAGCAATGCATGACTGCCTAATATTTTAATAACCAGTGCATATATGTAATTTAATTCAGTCCTTACTGTAATAAAATATAATCTATGATTGTATTGCAATTATAGAGAAGTCAACACTTTCCCACTGAAATTTCAATCTATGAAATAAAGTGGCAATAAGCAGATTAACAAAATCCACATAAAATGTATTAATGTACATAACAACAATATCCATATACCACAGATGAAATTCAAAGTGAAGGCAGGCAGCTAAAGCTTACATCTCAATTGGAAGAGGAAAGTGGGCTGTAGAATCTTTTTTTTTTTTGTACTGAGAACGGGACTCAGGACCTTGCATCTGCTACACAGGCACTGAGCTAAATCCCTGGCCCAGGTGTAGGAAATTCGAGAGAGCTAATAAATTATGATTCAGGTAGATAAACGGGATAGACAATGAGCTGGATAAAGTTGCCCTCCATCTCAACATAGGTTAGGATTCACTCTACCTTCTTGCAACCCAAGTTAGGCTTTGTGGTCAAGAAGATTTCAGGAAGAAAACAGAAGGCAATAGTTTTCCATTTTCACTAACCCAGTCAGGAAGAAGCAATAATTTTGCAAACACCTTGGGCTATAAGGGGGATGATCCAAGGAGGGGCAAAGAGACGTTATGGGGAGCATCTTCTAGGGCCTGTCAGATGCCAAGCACCCATCCATGAGATACAAGTTTGTGAGCCCTATTATAATTAATAAATGTCAAAAGAAAATTACTATGAACAACTACTTTGCTAGGTCATATAGATTAATGAAAAGAGTAGAAAGAGTAATCATTTATTACTAAAGTATCTTGAGATAAAATTAATATAATATAAAACAAAATATTACGGAAATATTACATGAGGTGTCAAAATGCATTACTGATCTCTTTTGTGGGTGAATGTTTACTTAACAAAAGCCTGAAGTTGAAATAAGAGAGGAATCTGCTTCAGATTGAATGGTTTCAGAAGGTTTCAAATAAAAAGAAATCTTGTAACAGAAACTGAAAAATGGCTAGAATTTAGAGAGAGAAAGACCAGAATTGGAGATAAACCAAGAGGGAGAAGGTAAATGAAAAAAACAGAGTCAGCAGCACCTGGTCTGAAACAATATTTAGTATACTACAGCCACAGTAAAGTTCAGTATAATAAATTACGCATTACCTAAGATCACAGGCTTACAAAAGAAATTGTATTTGACAACCTGAAATTTATATTGTAGTCTCTGCCTGGTTTACTACATTTGGTATTATAAATTCTTCATTTTAAAAGTACCAGCTACCCACCAATGAATATATTAGTTATTACTACAAGTTTACACTAATAAAAAGTTTTCTGGGAACCTAAACAGAGAAAGGAACGGAAGGGCAGTGTCTGTCACCTACTCAGTCTGGGGAGGGACAATCCTCTGAACTGAGTGAAGAAGAGCAACAGTGATTTGAGGATCAGTGAGGGCAGAAGTCTTTCTAAACAAGAAACACAATCAAACAACAGACAGGTTATACTCAGAATCAACGGAGCCTCTCTGTGTAGCTATCGAAAGACATTTATTTCAGGGAAGGTCTACGAATAAAATCATAACTAATAACAAACAGAAAAGAAAATGTTTCATGAAAACTCACTTTTTTGTGTTCCAGGAAAACTATTAGAACCTAATGTCCAAAGCTCTTAGTTTTTAAGTAGGGTACTGATGATAGTCTACTTTTTAAAGTTCCAAATTAGATGCTAAGTTAAATTCTTTAAAAAGTTTAAATGTAAGATTTCATTATATACCAAATCCCTGCAAATTCATAACTATATTTCATTAATTGGGACAAAACTCAGCCAATGAGTAAGATTTAAAGAATACTGCCTTTTAAGTAACTATGGAATGTCATTTTTATTAATTCCTTTACTCAAATGGTCTCCAATGTGGTTTTCATAAAATCTAAGTGATGTATTCGTCACATACAAAAAAAAAAAAAAAAAAAAACCCCAATATTTGACTTGGGTTACTTTTATGAATCATCTTTAAAATATCAGATTTTATCCATGATTTATAATAAATTAGTACATTATATGCTTTATATACATTTCTCCAGTTATGTGTGATGTATGCATAGCTGACAGGATTTAGGACCAAATAACTAATTGTTATTTTAATGAAAAATAAAAATGAGTAAGTGGCTTATATTTATCCTAAAATTAAGGACCAGCAATTATTTAGTTTTTAATTTTTAAACGTTTATGCTATTGGTGCCGTGGAGACTTGGCAGCTGAGGTTGTTGTAGGCTGCACAGCGAAAACATGTACTGGAGACCAAAGCTGTGCTCACTCCAGTGTCCGATGACCCTCAAGTACACGGCTTTATGCAAAAATAATTTGCTACTACCAATGTGATCCATTACTCATTGTCTTTCCTCATAATGAACAGCTGGTTCAAGATGATGTGCTTTTCAGAAATATTCACACTAAATTAAGATTCCATTTGCTTCCATTGTTTGTTAGTGTGGATATTGGGCTGCACTATGGTACTGGGTATCAAATCGAGATGCTTGCACATGTTGGGTGAGCACTCTATCACTGAGCTACAACACCAGGCCCATTAGGATGCTAATCACTGTTTGTAGGATGAGTTGGGAAGGCACCCAGAGACCATCTCTGTATAAGAAAAACCAAAGCAAGTGTAAAGAACACATGGAGCCAGGGAGCCTGGATTCAGCTTTGATTTGCTGCTTCTCAGCCCCTTCCCCTACCCTCTGTGAGAGGGACTGAACTTGTGCAGGGTTGTTGGAGAGCACAGGGATTAGTATTTTTCAGTACAGGCCAAGTATGTGCTAATAATAAACAGATCAAAAGGATGCACAGCAACATTTCATTAATGAGCATCTCCATCAAGCCACATGGCTCATCCCCAAGACTGCACCTGGAAGTTGATAATTTTTTTATCTTCTTTAATCTCCCCAAGGGACTGTGGCTCTAATACCACTGTTTACCAGTCCCCAGCATTCCCTAGTCAAAGTGTCGGCTTTTGTCACTACTAACTGTATTTCCACCTTCCAGTTTCCTCAATTTCTTTTCTTTCCCTCTAAGAAACGTAATTAGAAATCACAAATGTGACCACATTTTTTATCATTCACATTTGGCTACCGCATATCTGTTCCTTCAAACCCTGCCACATTATACAACAGCCTGGACCCGCTTTTCCTCCTCCAAAGCATCTTATTCCACAGTCTCTGCTGGACCACAGCTTTGCCTGAAGATGCCTTCTTCCTGCTGGTTTTCTATTTGCATCACAAGAGCTGTGCATTTTCACGCCTTCTTGTCTTTGCTCATTTTCTCTTCTTGATTAAAATGCCCTTTGCCTCCTGTAATAATCACTTCCCCAATTCATTTTTCAAGACAAACCAGGTATGTTTTGTACCTGTTGATCCTGCTTGAAAATCTCCTTTTCCAAGAATATTTAATGCCGATCTCTATGGTGTTCTCAGATAACACATTATACCATATTTATGTTTGTATTTTTTATTAAGTAGGAAGAATTTTGAAGTCAATGACTATTGTCTAAGTTATATCTGATTTTCTGTTAATGATATATTTGCAATAGTACTGAATGCACAAGATTATATGTATCTTCGTGTGCGCTGGCTAAGACCTCCTGGTGGAAATATGTAGTTATATAACCTTTGAAAAATTTTACATTCTTTATTGTCAGTTTGTCTTCTTATTTTCTCCAAGCAGTTATTTTTTGTGGGTGGGTTTGAGTCTTTATTCAAACAAAAATCTACTTTACTCTTCGTTTTTCATATATCTTATCCTCTCAAAACCCCAAAGTGAACTGTGTTCTGTTTTTCTAGACAACAGTCTAGTAAATTGAGGATGTTTTACAAATCACTTGAGTCAGTACTGTCTTTGTCCATGCTGTGAATGAGCTGAGAGAGCCTTTATGGCTCTGCCTGAGTTCTTACCCTTCCTCTGGATGATCCTCTGTATTTCCTTGATGTGTAATACTAATGTTCTTCTGGGCTCTCAGGGAAAACCCCCTCTGTCGTTCTGAAGTAGAAACTATTATCTGTGACATCTAGGTGGAGAAATGGGTTTAGAACGCATTGTACATTGAAAAATCATCAAATGTGCTCAATAACTGTCACTTGGCTTTGATGTATGATTTCACATCTTCATCCTCATACCACTGGAGCGTCTGTGTGTCTGCCCCCACGAAGATCCCATAGTAAGCATGAGACAGTTTCCCTGGGAAAATGTAGACAAATCATGTTTCTAATAAGGAAAGTCTAATTTGCTTGTGCTGAAGTATTTCTGTGTACTAGACATATCCCCTTGAATTACACTTTAGAATAGATTAGTCAGCATGATCTAGTGAGCACCTGCCGTGTGTTGGTGCCAGGGATGAAGTTAAAAGTGGCATCTTTGCACTTAAAGAGCTTCTCGTTTTCCTAAAAAAGACATAACTCTTATGAAATGATCTCAGGCTAATATATAATTGTATGCAACACAGAGTGATATGGTACATATTGACACGTGGATAAATCAGTTTATAGATTAGTCTTTGAAAGCTGCAGTATCTAAATATATTTCCTACAGCATTATAGAAAATTCTTTAAAAAAATACTCGTGGTAATCTCCATGGAAAATTATTATCCAGTAGAAAGCTTGGTATTATTTGCCCAGCATACTACATTCCTTAAATATTGGGAATAAATATGCATCACAGTTTGTCTATTTAGCTAAGATCATTTCAGTAATTATCAAATGAGAATGCCATTTCTAAAGTAGTCACTGCTCTTGATGCCTTTTTGGTTCAGACTAAGAGCCTGAAATGATACTCAATCTCAAAGGGATTTCTTTTTGTACCAGTGACAGAAGGGAAGGTTAAATGTACTTACTAAGGAGAATGTATTCTTCTGGGTGAGTATTACAGCAATGATGTGGTTCGAGAGTAACAACATTCACAGAATTCAGTGATGACTAAGGTGATGATTTAAAACCTATAATACAAATTTAGAAATTGTTCATATTTGCTTGCACAAGTTCCAAATATATATGAAATAAAAATATAGGTTTAGGAGTAAAAAAATGAGAATTTAAATTAGGCTCTGTTTTTTCTTCACCATGTCAATTTAGGTAGTTCATTTACTTCCAATTTACATCTCTTCATATTTGTAAAGTCTGTGTGTATGTGTATGTATGTATGTTTTTGCACATGCATGTGTGTATCGACAGCTAGGAGTCATTGTGGAAGGTATGTTACCAGTTTCACATGTTTTACCTATATTTTTATTGGTATATGTTTTCAGGATATAATGATTACATTCACTATGAGAAGTTGACACGTGCATAATGCAACTTAATTTCTCTTTCCCACTCTACCCTTCCACCGCTAATTTTTTAGGATAGGAACAGACAGCAAAGTAGTTCTTGGCTAAACTGGGGAATGTAAAGAAAGCAGAAAGGAATGGGGGTATACAAGTATTTTGGAGAGTGATGAAAAAGTTCTAGAACTGATTACAATAATGAGTACACACTTCTAAATATTCTAAAAGCATTAACTATATATTCCAGGGATTGACTATTACAGAATGTGAATTATATGACAATAAAGCTACTATTTTTAAGTTTAAATTATGAGTATTAAATCAAACTTTCATTTTTCATATGCCATACAATATTTTTCTGTAATCTTTCCAAATCTGTGTGAGTTTTTTAAACATAATATTCATTATCAGAATTCCTGATTTCCTAGAATGCTTTTACTTTTTCTGGGCACCTATACTGTTACAGTCAGACTCACTTCTGTGCATTTTTCTTCAGTGCTAAAATATTATCATGCTTTGCTGTAAACAGGCTTTGAAATTATAAACTAAGACTAAGAACACTTTTTTTTTTTTTTTTTTTTTCCTGTTTTGCTTTTTGTTTTCCTTTGGTCTGAAGACAAAGACAGGGATTTGTTTGCTGCAGGATGGTAATCAGGAGCCTTTCAAAGTCCGGCTGCACCTAGCCAAAGACATTCTGATCATCCAGGAGCAGGATGTGATATGCGTGTCTGGTGAGCCTTTCTATTCTGGTGTAAGTAGCTTTTCCTTCTGTTGACATTTCTCGTTAATTAAAATGTTTATTTACAGAAAACTCGTAATAGGTTTTACTTTCAAAGCCCAATCAGTGATCCTGAAGGTTGGCTTTATTCACTGAGCTAAGAAAGCTGTATGCATGTGTGAAGACCTTTCTGGGGCCACAATCAAACCTTTAGAGCCTAAGTCCATCACGCTGTCTACTGACACGGAACTGTCTTAAGAGGCCAACTGCAATTGTGTTTCCAATTACAAGAGACAGAAGTCCACCTCCTTACACAGAAGACTGGCAGAGAACACTGCTTAACGGGGCGCTGTCTTAGTCTCATCCTGGATGCCGGGATACAAGGTGGAGCCCTTGCCCCTGTATCAGAGAAGCAGAAAGCTTTAGGCAGTACGCACTGACCTTAGTGTGAGTGACTTCCCCTGGAATTGTATCAAAAGAGTTCTGGGAACTTCCATGATAGAATCATGCGTGTATAGCAATTCCTCTCTCCAATTAAATAACCTGTGGACGTATCATGCTGATTTTAATCTAGCCTCAGAAATAACCGTAAATTTTCCCACAAAATTGATCGGTGTATTTAGCACCATGGAAGCACAGCTGTGAAAAACTTCCTTAGGTAAGATTAGATTTAATTTGATAAAAAGATTTTATCATACATAGAGTAAATTCTAAAGTTTACCATTTGTTATGTAATGTCATTAAACACATCATTGCAATAATGTTGCCATATGTGATCTCAGAAAAACAATTATAGAACATATTGAACACTGCTGTTGTGTTTCCCTAGATATCTGCAGCTATTTAGCATGAAGATTTAATTTGTTCCTTGCTAACAGACTTACCTTGCAGTGTTTAGTTGGTGGTGAATAATACCGATGTGAGTTTTCACATCACTTCTCAGTAACACCCAATGGGAGTCACACAGGGTCCTAACTCCGTGGGTTCTCGCTAACTAAAGATAATGGGGATTTTGCAGACTGCTAACTATTCTTTTGTTGTACAACATTAAAATCATTCTGAATTGTGGGCTGGAATGTCAAGGCAGATTAAAATGTTCCCACAGGACTGCCCTTTCCTCTTGGTTAATAACAGTGGTTCCTCTCTCTCTCTCTCTCTCTGTTTTTTTTTTTTTTTTTTTTTTTTTTCATAAGACAAGTATGATTCACACAATGCTCTGGAATAAATATATCACACATGCCTTAGATATAATTGTAAATTTCAGTATTTTCACACAAAATAATGGTACTGATTTAAAGCTTTTTAAGGAAAATAAATAAAATGCATTGACCCATTCTCTTTGAAAGATAAATTGTGCAAACAAATGAACCTCAGAATACTGATAGGGACATAACTCCAAGAGGAAACATTGCGTGACAAGGTCAACAAATGCAAAAAAAAAAAAAAAAAAAAAAAAAAATTGATGAGATTCAACACCTATTATTAAGAAGCACTTTTAACAAAATATATATACTATTTATCTGACAAGTACTTACCAATAACTTTACAGTTGACACTGAACATTCTTTCTGAGGGTGAATCAAATTGGAAGTCAGCACTTCTTTCTCCTGTACTCAAAATTCTTTTGAGTATTCTAGCTTGTACAGCAACTCAGGAAATGAATATAAACAGCATTACCTTAGCGGCATAAGCGCCTGCCTTGCAAGCAGGTAGTCGTGAGTTCGATCCCCGGTACTGATAAAAAGGAAAAAGACCAAAAAAAAAAAAAAAATTTTTTTTTTAAAGAAATAGACAATACTATGCTATTTCTAGATTTTATCCGGTAAGCAAGGAAACTCCCAAGAAATTCGTAAAAAGTAGGTTAAGACACAAATTTAGCCAGGTGGCTTGCAATAAACACAATATCACAGCTCCTTCCACTAGCACCAATAAATAAAAACAAATTTAAAATGTACAAAGACATTTAGGAATAAACTTAACAAAAAATGTATATGGTATCTTCTGAAAATTACAAAACCATCATGAAGGAAATTAAATGTATTTGGATTGTTGTAGAGCCGCCACCATCTCTTTCCAGAATTTGAATCATTTCATACTGAAAATCTGTCCTTAGTAATTAATAATGCCTCATATCATCTCGGGGCCTGATAACTAACATTATACTCTTTTTCTATATCAACTAGAGGTAGACTATGAAAAATTTGACCTTTTATATCTGTGCTATTTTATTTAAAATGATGTTTTCAAGGTTTACCCATTTTGAAGCATGTAACAAATTTCATTCCTTTTTAAAGCAGATTAATATTTAATTTTGTGGATATATTTTATTTATTCTTTCACCCCAATAGTGGAATTTTGTATTGTTCTAATTTTTTAATAATCTTGAAATAAGCACAAATACCTCGTTGAGTCTCAGCATTCAGGTTTTTCTTCCTGGATCTGAAAGGGAAAATTCCGAATGCAACAGTAACTCTTCATGTCTGTTTTTTTCCTGAATCATTGTACTATTTTGCTCTGTAGTTTTACCACTTTATGTTCCAACAAGCAACACCAAGTATTCCAGTTTCTCCACATTCCATTTTGAATCTCTTATTTTATGTATTTTTAATGATAAATATACAAATTAGTGTGAGCTTGGATCTCATTGGGGTATTCAGCTACATTCCCCTGCTTATTGGTAAATTGAGCACTGTTTTATGTACTTACGATCTATTTACATATTTTCTTTTGATAAATGTCCAACCACATCCTTTACTCATTTCAAATTAAATTGATTATTTTTGAGGTGGAGCTGCAAGGATTCTTTATACACTTTGCAGAGTAATCGCTTATCAGATAAGTGATTCATGTTTCTTTAAACATTTAAGTTCTCTCTTTACTTCATTGATATTGTTCATTGATGCCCCAAAGATTTTACTTGTGATTAAATCAGGTTAAACTATTTTTTCATCCAATATCTGTATCTTTTGTGCTGTACCCAACAAACTATTTCAAATTCAATCTTATTAAAATTTATCCTAGTATTTTCTTCTATGTTTAGTTTTAACTCTGGAAAATCCATTTTCAGTAAGTGTTTATATATGATGTTATGTAAGTATACACTTTTATTTGTTTCTGTTTTCTTTAAAACATTTACATCCTGGAGCTGTCAAAAATCATTTACCAAAAATGTAAAGTTGTAGTTCTGTGCCCATATTTACATAGCCCATTGGTTTATATGTTTGATTTTATGGTAGTAACACACTAATTTTGTTTTTGTTTTTACTGCATCTTTATAATACATTTTGAAATCAGGAACTATTTGACATTGAGCTTTATTTGTTTCCTAATTGTTTTTACTAATTTGGGATTTCTTGAGATTCTATTTGAACTTTGGAAAGAATCTATTTTTCCAAAAACCACTGTGCAGTTTCAGTAGGAAATTCATACCATCATCAAATCACTCTGAGTAAAGTGAACATCTTAACAATTGCAAGCTAAAATAATCCATGAATTTGGAATATCTTTCTACTTTTGTGTCCTTTAATTTCTTTTGTCAGATTATAGATTTTACAGTATAATTCATCCACTTCCTTTGCTACTTGCTTATACTTCTTGTATTGTTAAGAAATTAAATTCTTAACTCATTTAAAGTAGTGGATACAAAATCTAATTCATTTTTGCATATTGATGTTGTATCTTGGTATCTTGTTAATTTTAGTAGTTTTAGCAGGTTTTATAGAATGTGTAGGGTTTCCTACATATATGAGCATGTTATCTGTGAATAGAGAAAATTTCACTTTTCCTCTCCAACTCTGATACTTTTTGTTTCTTTTTCTTGCCTGATTATTTGGTTAAGACTTTTTAGAGTATGTTAAATTGAATTGATAGAAGCAAGCATTTTTGTCTTGGCACTGATCTTAGAGGAAAAACTTAAGTCCTCTTCCTATGACTATGTTGTTTTCTGTAAGCTTTTCATATTTGTTCTTCATTATTGTTAGGTAGCTGCCTTCTATTCCTTGTTTGTTGGTTGTTGAAATGGTGCTCAGTCTTGTCATGAACAGGTATGAAATTCTTTCAGATGCTTTTTTCTGAATCAAGTAAGATAATTATGTGCATCCCGCCACCATAACCTTTATAATAATCCCATAACTCCTTAGCTACAAGTGCTCCCTGGGACCTTCTTCCCTATGAAATTCTACGCTCTGGGACTTTATCTAGGGAAGTCATCTTAGAAGAGGAAATGTTAGCGCACTGCACTCTCAAACTTCTATGCATTTCCTGAGAGTACTCTACCTCTGGTGCAGAGGTCTTCAAGCACCACTACACTGCAGAGCAGATCTCCTTTTAACCTGACCTCAATGTGTATTGTTTTCTTTTATTACCACAGCCCATTGTTCATGGGCTCTTTCTACACTGATAGCTTCACTTGTATGACATTATAGAAAGTTGAAAGAGTAGGGTATTAAGGCAGTAATAATTATCTAACATTTGCAAGTAGAAAATCATATATGAGTATAACCGTAATTGGGAGTCTCTCTCTGATCACATGAATGGAGGTTTAGCAGAGTGCTTTAAAGGCACAGAAAGTACTACATTTAAGAATTTTCTGGAGAGTAATGCTGTGAATCTCTGTTTAGAAAACTAAAAGAAGAGAGGGAGAGCCTGGAAAGCAATTGGAGAACTGTCATCAGCAGTTTACTATGAAGGGAGAGGATAATGAAAGTCCAGCAAGTCGAAATGTCTTACAGGATGTGGAGTATCTGTTTTCTCTACACGACTGCAAAAAGGAGGAAGCTGACATTTATGTTTCCAGATCCATTCTGTTCATTGGAGACTACATATAGAATTTTCATCATCTGAATCATCATCTGGCATGTCCAGCCCTGACTCAGAGAAAACACTTAGGCATATAACTCCGGAGTTTCAGTGGGGCAGTCATGAGCTACAAAGTTAGTGGTAGGAATGGTAATTTCTCCACATCATAACCAGAGATGTGCAAACGATATGGGACTTGGCATTGACCCGCTGATCATACAAGACAGATATTGGGA